GGCCTCTTGGGGGCCTCTTGGAGGCCTCTTGGGAGCCTCCTGGGGCCTCTTGGGGCCATCTTGGGGCCTCTTGCGACCTCCTCAGAAGCGCAAATGAGCGCTGCCCCCTGAGAAGGACAAAATGAGCCCAAAACCTTTGTAAAATCAATGATTTTGCTATGAAGGAAGATGAGCGCGGCCCCCTCAGAAGGCCAAAAATGGGGCCAAAACCGTAGTAAAATCAATTACTTTGGCTTCAAAGAAGAGCAGAAGGGGCCAAACTCGGCCCCCCCGTCGGGGCCAGAATCCTCGTGAGGGTCGTCGTTTTTTAGCCCCCCCAGGAGTCGAACAAGTCCCCCCTGCCACCACCCCGGACTCCCTGTCCAGGTCCAGGGGGAGGGGGTAGGGGGAGGGGTAAACCCATCCCCGAAGGGGAAGAAGGGGGGTTGAGGACAGAGAGAGCTCTCTAAACCACTCACGCCCAAAGGGCTGGTGGGATTAATGTTGTTATTGTTGTTGTTGTTGTTGAACATTATTTATTCTAAAGAATAATTATTGTTGGGCCCCCTGGTGCGCGCCCCCCCTGCGCCGCCTAGGCCGCAGCTACATTTTCATCATTTTCGTGAGGAAGCCTCAGAAAAGAGGGTGTGTACAGGATCCGGTTGTTTTGTTGTAATCCGCTTTCCCTTGCAAAAAACAATAGAAAATGACATTTCTTGTTCTAATATAATCAAATTTCAAGAATCCCTTGCAAAAAATAAGGTAAAGTGGACATTCGCGCGCGCAAGACGAAATCCTTCCAAAACCTTAGTGTTCGCAGCGATTTTAACATAAAAACATCAAAAAACCAATGGTTTTTCAACAAAAAATGTCAAAATCTCATCCCGCGCGCTCTTGCGGATTCGTAGGAAACCCAACACTTTTTAAACATTTCTGTCAAACGGGCTTTTGCGAGCAACTTTTTCGAACTTCTGCGACAACGGTTGCGCACCTGCCAGGGCCATCATCCCTGTCAAATAATACCATGCGGGACACATTCGTTTTTTCTTCGCGCGCGCACGCCGAAATCTCCAAAAACCATTGGGCTTCTTAAGAATTTTAGCACCGCGCATCATAAAATCACACGAATCGCACCGTAGGTCCTCGTAGGCTTCTTCTTGTGGGTGCGTACTCCACGCCAGTGTAGTAGCCACGGTCGTCCGCAGGCCACGAAGTGAAGTGTCCGAACGTCATAGGGCGGGAAGCTGGGTGTGGGTGGTGGCGAAGAGTCGTGTGGATATTTGGTAGAGCTTGCACTGCCCCCCCACAAAGTGGGGGTATTGGCTGGCGTCGCATGAAAACCCTGGCACTGGTGAGAACACTGAGCGTTCGGGTAAAGTGATTGTTGTTGTTGTTGTTGCTGTTGTTGTTGTTGTTGTTGTTGCTGTTGTTGTTGTTGTTGGTGTTGGTGTTGGTGTTGGTGTTGGTGTTGGTGTTGGTGTTGGTGTTGGTGTTGGTGGTGGTGGTGGTGGTGTTGGTGTTGGTGTTGGTGTTGGTGTTGGTGTTGGTGTTGGTGTTGTTGTTGTTGTTGTTGTTGTTGGTGTTGCTGTTGTTGTTGTTGTTGTGATTGGTGTGGGTGTTGTGGTTGTTGTTGTTGTTGTTGTGATTGGTGTGGGTGTTGTGGTTGTTGTGGTTGTTGTTGTTGTTGTTGTTGTTGTTGTTGTTGTTGTTGTTGTTGTTGTTGTTATTGTTCTTGTTATTGTTATTGTTCTTGTTGTTTCCCTGCGGCTTCTGAGGGGTAGCCTTGGACTCCTGAGAGTCGGAGGTTGACAAACCTACCCTGACACGTCGATTAGCGAATTGGCCGTTTTCGGTTCGCGAGAGGGCGTCGCGGCCGTCACTTTTGCGGGTCCAGGTCCGTCGGGTTCGGTCCGAGGCCGTTTTCACCGAAGGGTGGTCTACCAAAGGGAGGTTTGTCCACCGCCGAGAGAGGCAGCGTGGCGGCTCTGTTGGGGCTTTCGTAGGCGCTCGGGGGGCTCCCTCGCGGGGCCGCCGGGAGGCCGCCTGGGGCCGCCTCCAACCCTGGCGCGCTGGGCATTGGAAGTGGCGGTGGAAAAAGGTTCCTGGCCCTTCCCCGTAAATGAAGCAGTGACTCGGCAGCTGGGAGTCATGATCATGCAAGCGGAACTGGGTCCAGTGCGAGCCTGTGACCAGGCCGCGCAGGACACGTTGCTCTCTCACCCCCCCAGTCCCGTCTGGCAAAGAGGAGGAGGAGGACGAGGAGGAGGAGGAGGACGAGTAGGAGGATGTGGAGGAGGAGGAGGAGGAGGACCCTGGGACGGAGAAGGAGGAGGCAGGGGAGGAGGAGGAGGAGGAGGAGGAGGAGGAGGAGGAGGAGGAGGAAGAGGAGGAGGAGGAGGGAGGAGGAGGAGAGGAGGAGGAGGAGGGGGAGGGGGGAGCAGGAGGAGGAGGAGGAGGAGGAGGGGAGGAGGAGGAGGAGGAGGAGGGCGGGGGAGGAGGGAGGGAGGAGGAGGAGGAGGAGGAGGAGGAGGAGGAGGAGACCGCCCTGCACTCTTCGGGGGCCTCTTGAGAAAACCGCTGGGGCCACTCGGGGGGCCTGCTGAGGTCGGCGGGGGACGCCCGGGGGCGCTGTCCGCGCGCAGGCCGAAGCCTCGCCAAGCCGAGGTGGGCACTGATGCACGGACCACCTCCTCCTCCTCCTCCTCCTCCTCTCCTCCTCCTCCTCCTCCTCCTCCTCCCTCCTCCTCCTCCTCCTCCTCCTCCTCCTCCTCCTCCTCCTCCTCCTCCTCCTCCTCCTCCTCCTCCTCCTCCTCCTCCTCCTCCTCCTCCTCCTCCTCGGGTCGCCCGCCTACGGCTCCGGGGGAAGCCGTGCACCCGGACGGGCGGCAAAGAGGGGGTGATGACTAGGGGTGGGTGGATATCATGGCGGGGGCCATGATATTTCCCCAAGTTTTATGGCGCCTCTTCTTGTTTCATTACGTCCCTGGCCTCCCCGCTGGGCCGCGCACATGCCGCCGGTCATGATTTGCACCCCCCCCTCTTGGACACCCCCCTCTTGGCCGCTCCCGACACCGCCTGGGGGATCGATCTTCCGGTGCCCTCGGCGGGCGTGAATTGCCTGTGCGCAGCCCTGACCCTCAAAACATGCCCGCGTCGTCTGCGACCCGCAGTCGGAGCCTCCAGGTGGTGGCCTGAGGTCGGGCATGTCCACCTGCAGGCGGATGTCAGGCGGGCCTGAGATCGGGGGCGGCAAAGAGCGGGGCGATGACTGGGGGGGGTGGACCTTAGTGGGCCCCAGAAACGGCAGGGCCGTTTTTTCACCGTTTCCAAAAAATGTCCCTTGAAAATGGAAACGGCCAAAAAAACAGCGACCGAAAAAGGCAAAAAAACTGCTCCAGGATTGGAACCAGAGCCGGAACCGGTCAAAAAACGGCGACGGAACCGGTAAAAGAACGGCGTCGGAACCGGCAAAAAAACGGCAAAACGGAACCGGTAACAAAAACGGCCTTGTCGTTTCCAGGGCCCACTAAGGGGTGGACATCATGGCGGGGGCCACGAGATCTCCCCAGATGTCATGGCGCCCCTTCTTACCTCACACTGCGTCCCTGGCTCCCCCCCCCCTGGGCCGCGCACGTGCCCCTGGCCATGATCTGCCCCCCCCCCCCCCCCTCTTGGACGCTCCCCCTCTTTGGCCGAGCCCGAGAATACCTCGGGGGCCCCCAAACGGGGTGGTGACCCCACCGTGTGGTGCGTCGGTGGGGATTCGGGGTCACCGCACGGTCTTGGGCCTTGGGCTCTCGGGCCGTTCTTCGAGGACGCCTCGGGCGACTCGGGGCCTCCGAGTTCACGAGGCCGCGTGGTGGCGGACCCCTGCGGTGGGTTTCTGCTTTGTGGCTTTCGAGGCCGCCGCCTGGCCTGCCACCGCACGGTCTCGGGGGCGGCGATAGGGGGGGGTGGCATGGAGGGGGATGCATCGCCCCCCCAAGTCGCCCACAGATTGCCGATAGGGGCCATAGCCCCACCCCGCCCAGGAAGGTGCGGGTTCCCTGTCGGGGGCTCCTCGCCGATCTGTCGGCGATGTATCGCCGATTCCAGGTCGCCGCATCCCCCCCTATGCCTATCCCCCCTCATCGTTGCCCCTCGATGTGATGTTGGGACCCCCAGACGTACAAGCCTTGAGGGGGGGGCAACCATGTCCGCATCCACCCCCCGCCGGGGCCCGAAAGAGATCGCACCCCTGCAGACGGTGGACATGGATACATTTGAGTCGGGCCTGTCCCTGTGCAGGAAGAGTATTCAAAAACAGTATGAAATATGATGGGGACGAACTCGTGCTTGGTTTTGCGTATTTTTGAACACCTTGGATATTTATAATTTTTCGGCCAAAAGCCACTTGTGGGGGGACATGCCCGACCTAAGGATACATCCCCGCCCTCAGGGGCAACGTCAGGTGTGAGGCCATGCTCACAGGGGGGACGCATTGACCCCCAATCGCGCATTCATCGCCGATGGTTGCCCGATGGACCCACCCAGCCCAGGACTGTACGCATTCATTGGCGATGCATCGGCGATTCAAGCTCGATGTTCCCCCCCTGAGCCAGGCTCCCCCATCGTTGTCCCTCACTCGAGGGAGGCGCGAATGAGACCGCTCCAATTTTCTGATGAGGTCTGAACCACTTCCCTGGGGCTGGCTTTTCGTCCTGAGTCCCTTCTTGACCGTCCCGGGGCCCGGCGAGAGCCCCTGGAGGCCGAACACGGGGAAAAACCGGCCGCTCCCATTCTTCAAGAGCCCTTGATCTCTGGGCCTCTTCCGCCAGCGCCGTCGCCGTCGCTTCCGCCGCCGCCGCGGCCCCCGCCGACGCCGCCGGCGTCGCCCGCGCAGTCTTCAGACGTCGGCACCGTCGTCGACGCCCAGTCGTCGACGCCGGCGGCATCGTCGCCGTCGCCGCCGGCGCCGTCGGCGGCACTCGGCGCGCGCCTGGGGGGCGCCGCGAGCGCACGCGCGCCGCGCCCCTGGCGAGGACCTGCTCGCGTCGAGGGACGCCGGCGGCCCGCTCGGCCCGAGGGGCGGCAGGACCGGGGGCGCCGAGCCCTCGCGAGGACGAGGGGGTCGACTTAGGTGGGGGTCGGTGGATCGCGCCGCATCGCCGATGCATCGCCGATGCATCGCCGATGCATCGCCGAGGCGGCTCGATGTGGAGCCCGACTTGCTTCGCGTCGACGTCGCCGATGCATCGCCGACGTCGCCGATGCATCGCCGATGCATCGCCGATGCATTGCCTGTGCATCGCCGATGCATCGGCGATGCGGTGCGAGCCTCCGGCCCCATTACTCATAAGTCGGGCCTGTCCCCCTACAGGAGGAAGATTCAGAAATAGTCAAAAAAATGTATGGGGGCGATTTTGTTACTGTTTGTGGGTGTTGTTGGAATATGTTTTGAGCATTGTTTTATTTCCTCCCAAATCCGCCTGTAGGGGGACACGCCTGACCTAAATCTACTCCGAATCGACCCTGCTTGCATCCAGGGTGCCATTGGTTTCTTGGGCTTCGATGATTTTGCTGTGGAAGGCGTGACGCTCCCACACAACAATCGATGGACGTCCTGGGGTCTCAGGGTTGGGTTTCTGGCGGAAGGTGTCTTGTGTACTCGCCTCCATAGTACACGTAAGAGTGGCCTTTCGCAGGAGTGACCTGTGGTGCGGGCCCACAGGTGTCCCTCGATCGCCGCACGCGAGGTGGCCACTGCGCGCTTGCGTTTGGTCTCCCCGCGGCGCTCGAAAAGCCGCTCACCAAAGGTCACTTCCCAAGGTCGTTCCTGCGTGCAGCCGAGGGGGATCAAGGGCGGGTCTGGAGGATCGAAATGGTCCAGGCCTCCCTGCTGGCGTCAGAGTGCGTGGACAGGGTTGGCTGTCCTTCCTTCGTCTTCGCCCTGTCAGGTCCTCCAGAGAGGCCCTCGGCGCCACCGCTGGGGTCGCCTCGACGTGCTGGTCAGGGGAGAAGTCCAGGGAGTAGGTCGGGCGGGTGGTAATGGGGGGTGACCTTAGAGGGTAAAGGAAATGGCCCCTTTGGGTGCCAGCGGGGGCCCTACGTGGCTCCTTTAGCCTGGCATCGCTCGGACGTGTGCATTTTTCCTTTGGCGAAGACCATCGAGGAGCAGCCTTGATCATTCGGTGAAAAGAGCACGCACGAAACCGAACAAAGCACAGGGAATGGGCGTCCGAGCGATGGCGAGTTAGGGCCCTTCTCTTCACCCCCCATGTGCGTCACCCCCCATTACCACCCGCCCGAGTAGCGGTATTGGTGCCGCGCCGCGTCGCCGATGCATCGGCGATGCGTCGACGATGTTAGCGATGCATCGGCGGCGTCGGCGTCGAAAAAAGCATCGCCATTGCATCAGCGATGCGGCGCGATCCTCCGACCGCGTGTGTTCCGACCCCGTCTGGGAGGCTTCTACATTGGCATGGAAAGATTTATGGCTAAGACCAGGAGCAAATCCTGTTCATTTCGAACCAGACACGATGTATCAGTCAGACCCAAAAGCGATGTTTAAGTCGGGCCTTTTCCCCTACAGGAGGAATCTTCAAATAGTCAGGGGACGATTGTCTGACTATGATTCGCCTTTTTGGGGCATTGTTCGATTAATTGTTATGTTTCGTCCAAAATCCGCCTGTGTGGGGGACACGCCCGACCTAAAGCTAATCCTGTTCAGTTTGAGCCGGACACGATGTCTGTGCCGCCGCGGGCCTTGCCTGTTGGAGACGCCAGCTCGCCGGCCCAACAGCCGCCGCTGGCGGTTTTGGACAACACCTGTTGCTGGGCATCGTGCGCGCCGGTCCGCCGATCCGAGTCATGCCGCTCGCCGATCCGGCTCGTCGATTCGATTCTGGGCTCCCCTGGGGGCCCCTCAGGCCTGGACGATCGAGAGGGGTACAGTCGGGGCCCTGAAGAAGGAACCCTATTCGTTGGGGAGGGGCTCCGTGTTCCTTGATTGTTTCGCAGCTTGCCTTAGATTTTCCTCAGGGTTTCGATACGAAATCGAAGTTTAACTTATGGGGAATAGGGGCCTCGTTCCTTATTTAGGGTTCCTTAGGTCAACGCCACGACTGTACTGTAGGTTTGCGTCGTGTCGACCAGCGGCGACCCCAGCGCGGGCGTTCAAGGTTGAACGCCGCCGGCGACCCAGGATCGATGTTGAACGATCGGACGTTGCGGCAGCGGCCGATCGTTCAAGGTTGAACGATCCCTGCGGTGTCAAAAACCAACGCTGGGGTCGGCACGACACGAACCTGCCGTACGGAGAGAAGTGGTGCGCAGACCGGCCACAGCGTCTGCCCATCGTGAGCAGGAGGTGCTCTCGGCATCGCTCGGACGTGTGCATTTTTCCTTCGGCGAGGACCACCGAGGAGCAGCCACGCGCGAAACCGACAAAAGCACAGGGAATGGACGTCCGAGCGATGGCCAGTGCTGCCGGTGCCGCCGCGGGCCCTGCTGCATTCGATGCAGAAGGTCGCCTGCCCACTGGCGGTCGCCGTCGGTTCGGAGCAGCAGTTCTTGTCAGTTATCGTACGCATCGGTCGTTAAAATTATGTATTCTCGGATCCCCACATCACAACTTACATTCATCGGCCTGACCTAAGGAACGATAAATAATGAACGAAGCCCCTTTTTTTATCCCAAGGAATAACGCATAAGTAACGATAACTAATCCATAACGCATAAGGAACTGTAAATAACGCATGCAAGCCTAAGGAACGACCGAGCCCCTTTTGAAAAGTAAGCGTTCCTTATTCAAGCCGCTCACTGTACTCTAGGCGTTTTTCGACTTCAAGAGTCGACCGTTTTTCCCCCTTCCCTCGTCCTCAGGGGGCGGGCGGAAGCTCAGTCTATTTTTCAACGCCTTCCTATTTCATAACTCTACCAACATCTCCCGACCGACGGGCACACGTTTTTTCCGTGCCAAATTCTGTCGTCCAGGCGTGGGCGCCGAGCCCTCGCGATGAGGATCGAGGATGGCGGGGCGAATTTTCGAAGAAGGCTGATTCTTTAGACTTCTCAGATGGCGTTGCAGCCCACGGGGCCAGAGGTTCGCTGTGGAGCCCCATTCTCTCTACGCAGCGACGTCGCCGATGCATCGCTGACGTCGCCGATGCATCGGCGATGCGGTTCGCTGTGGAGCCCGACTCTCTCCGCGCCGCGACGTCGCCGACGCAGCGCTGACGTCTCCGATGCATCGGCGATGCGGCGCGATCCTCCGACCCCGCCTGCTCATCCCCCAGCAAATGGCGGGGCCGTATGCGCCGACACTGGCGCGCAGGCTGGCCGCGCAGGGCCGCGCGTGAGCGACCTCGTCTCCACGGGCGTACCGCGCTGGCGGCCCGCGCGAGCCACCGCGCGAGATCGCTACGTCTCTGGACGCCCGAAATGGGTACCGAAAAAATGAGCACAATGCCCAACAGCAAATGTTGCCCCAAATCAACAACGGCCGCGGTTGGGCAGGCGGCCCTCTGTCTCAAATGGACGCAGGCCGCGGCGGCGTGGACAGCGAACCCTGTCCAAGTTGAGCAGGAACTGCTGTTGGGCATTGTACCCATTCTTTCAATACCCATTTCGGGCGTCCAGAACGTCGTCTCGCATGGAGCCCGTTCCTCGTCGCTCGCTCGGGGAGGCATCGAGGGGCGCGGGGGCGGAGAGCCCCCAGCGGCGAGGAGCGAGGAGGGCGGGGCGAGCCGTCGGGGCACGGGAGGGCACGAGGGATCGAGGCGCGAGAGGGGCACGAGGGGAGACGAGGCGCGAGGGGGCACGAGGGATCGAGGCGCGAGGGGACACGAGGGATCGAGGGACACGAGGGATCGAGGGATACGAGGGATCGAGGCACGAGGCTCTTGGCCGCCCGTGCCTCTCTCTGGCAGTTCCCCGGGGGCCTCCAGGGGCCCCAGAGGACCTCCAGGGGCCCCTGGAGGCAGGGGGGGGGTCGGCCACGCGCAGAGGTGGGCAGGGGAAGGGGGGAAGGCTTCTTGGAAGCACCCCTGCCTCTCAGAAGGCGCGGGCCCTCTCTCTCTCTCTTTTATTTTTATGTTTTCTCTCTCTCTCTCTCTCTCTCTTCCCCCAGTGTCTCTCTCTCTCTCTCTCGTTCTTTCTTTTTTTGTTCTCTCTCTCTCTCTCTCTTTCTCTCTTTTTATATACATATATATATAATACATATACATACGTATATTCATAGAAGTACAGTGTAGATACAGGGCGGGCACCTGCTAAGAAACAGCCTCCTTCTGAGAAGCCTTCCCCCCTCCCCCTCCCCCCCCAAGCGCGCCGCCAAAGCAGGCGGGCGGAGTCAACACCGACACAGCCGCCGCTCGCCCCGGAGAGACCCTTCGGCGCCACGGCCATGGCCTCGCCCCGAGCAGCCCGTGCCGGGGCGCACCCCCGGGGAGGGGGCCCCGGGAGCACCGACACGTCGGCAGCGGCGGCTGTGCCTCCCGACGGGCGTCGAAGAGCAGGACTCCACGTGCGAACCCTACAGTGCCGTTTTTTTAATACATGGTCCGCGTGCGGACCATGTATTAAAGATAAAGGGTTGATTATTAAGTACATGGATGAGTTTACGCATTTTTTCATAAAGTACTCATGCATAACAAATTATATATTTTTCAGAATCCAATGTCTTAAAGACTGCCCTGCACCCCTGCCACCCAGGATTGCCACGAGGCAGACGGCCTCCCCGAAGCTAGGAAAACCTTGGACCGCGCCCCCCATTCCCGCTCGCCCGAGCACAGTGCCAGGGGGCCTTATGCGGGCCCCGCCCCTGCCCCACACGATCTCTGAAACGGCAAAGAAAGCGGCGACCGGAAACGGCAACACAAACGGCTCCAGGATTGGAGTCGCAGCGGGAACCCGTAAGAGAACGGCGACGGAAGCGGCAACAAAAACGGCGTCGGAACCGGCAACAAAAACGGCTACACGGAGCCGGTAACAAAACGGCCCTGTCGTTTCCAGGACCCACTAAGGCACCGACACGTCGGCAGCGTCTGTGCCTCCCGACGGGCGTGGACGAGCAGGACTCCACATGCGAACCCTACCCCTGCCACCCAGGATTTCTGAGATAGGGGAATAACAAGTGGCACAAACATCAAATTTGGGTGCCCAGCGCCGATCCGAGAAATCCGCGCGGACCTCCGAGTTGTTATATGTTTATGCCACTTTTTGTTCCCCTAACCAAAGATTTCTGAGAGGGAAGGTGCGGTTCACTTCGCTCGGGAGCGCCCGAGCGAAGGGAATTCCAGCCTCCCCCCGAGAAGTCGTGGGTGGCAGGGGGCTGGGTTCGCATGTGGCCTCCCAAAGGCCCTGAGATGCGAAGCAGATCCAACTGCATGAACATAAACTTGTGGCGCTCCGCGCGGATCTCTGGGATCCGCGCTGGGCTCCCCCGGCGGCGGCGCCTCCGGCGCCGCCCTTGGCGCGCTCCGCACGCCAAAAAGGGGGAGGTTCCAGCGCGGATCCAAGAAGTCCGCGAGGAGCGCCAAGAGTTGGTGCTTATAGCGTTGTTTCGTACAGTCGGGGCCCTGAAGAAGGAACCCTTTTGGTTGGGGAGGGGCTCCGCGTTCCTTAAGTGTTTCACAGCTTGCCTCAGGTTTTCCTTATGTTTCCGATAGGAAATCGAAGTTTAACTGATGGAAAAAAGGGTCCTCGTTCCTTATTTAGGGTTCCTTAGGTCAACGCCCCCACTGTATTCCATTGGCGTCACATTTTTTCCGAACCGGGCGGTTTCCCAGATCTCGGGGGCCCAGCGCCAGGCAGAGAAGTCGGCGCGGGCCTCCGAAAGCTGATTCTTGAGTGGTGGCTTGCCCCTCCCGTGGGGGGCGGGAAAAGCATCGACCCGTCATCGCCCAATCCTCGCCTTCTTGGGGCCCCGGGTGCTCCAGCCCCGTCGGGGGCAGACCGCCGATGGATTCGGCGATGCAATCGTCGACTCCCAAGCAGCTGTGCCACCCGCCCCCGAGTCAGCCGCCCCCCCCTGTTGGTCTCACGGCTCCCCTCACAGGACCCCGCTCGGCACGAAGATGCAGGCGGGCGACTACTGGAACCAGGAGCGGATGTCGGGACGTCGGAGGAGAGGGTCTGGATGCGTGTTCTGTTTGTCTTGTTGACCTTTTTTGGGGTATCTCCGGGAAGAACCTCGCCTCTTCGGCCGTCTTCCCGTTGGATTTCTGGACAACCCGCGTTCCCCTTGGATTCTTGGTCAGAAGCCTTCCTGGATACGTCCGTGGTCGGATCAGGACAACGATGGAGATCCCCTTGGTCTTCCCCCCTCCCCTCCCCCAAAAAGAAGGAAGACCTTCAGGGGAGGAGGGGGGAGGGAAGAGAAGAGAGGGGCCTGCAAACGCTCGATTCCCTGGCTCCCCATCACAGGAGTCGCAGCTCGGGCAGTTCTTGGCCTTCGCCATCAGCGGCGTGCTGCTGGAGGACGAGCAGGCCGCGGAGCGGCGCGGCTCCCCCCCCTCCTCGGACACCTCCGGGCCTTCAACGCGAAGCCCAATGTGCAGTCGGGCTTGATGAATCAGTCCACGCCGACGCATCGCCGACGTCGCCGATGCATCGCCGACGCTTCGGCGACGCGTCGGCGATGCATCGACGATGCGGCGCGATCCCTCGGCCTCGTCTGCCCGGACCCCACCTGGGAGGCTTCTCAAAGACGAAGGAAGCGGGCATCCTACAGTCCGGCCGAGGTATAAGATCGAGGTCGGTTCGGGGATGGTGCCCCAATGTTCTTCGTGTGTCTCTTGCATGTTCTTGTCCACCCTGGGGAGGGTACCCGTGTGGGCTCTGTGCGTGTTGGCCGGCGGAGGGTTTTATGTTCTTCAAGGATGTTATTCTAGCAGTTGTGAAGCGTTCTGGCGCGCCTGTAGGCCCACCAAAGAACGTTCTAAGAACCCGTCGTGGTCGACACGAGATGTTCTTAGAACATGTCTGGCTGATACTGTCTTGGTTAAAAAACATCGGGCATATGTTCTGAGAACACTGTTTTTGTTATTGGAACATTTTGAGGTTCTAAGAACATGTTGAGAATATCTCGTGGTAGGCCTGGCTAGGAATGCCGGGACGGTCGATCCCTGCTCAAGCCATTTGGGCTCAGGTCGGGGTGTATCTCGACCCTTCCAGATCAAGGGTGCCCCAGCGTCCCGTGGTTCGCGCCCCCCGCCCTCCTGCATCCATGGGGCCGTGTGGCCCTCGGAATGGGTCGTTTGTGTCCTCTCGCGTGCCCTCTCCACAGGAGTAAGATGCTTCCTCGTCCTCCTCCTCATCCTCCTCCTCATCTTCGACGGACGCTGAGATAAGGGCCCCTTCTGGGTCGGGGAGCCTACAGTCAACCCGCATAGTCGGGTCGGGGAGCCTGCGTTCCTCGGACCCGGGTCGGGGAGCCCACGGTCAACCCGCACAGGAAGGATGTGCGTTTTTCCTAAGGGTGCCCCTGGCATCTTTCTAGGCCTCCTGGATGGGGTCCGAGTAGATGGGGTCGGAGGATCGCGCCGCATCGCCGATGCATCGCCGATGCATCGCCGACGCGGCTCGATGTGGAGCCCGACTTGCTTCTCGACGAAGTCGCCGATGCAACGCCGACGTCGACGACGCATCGCCGATGCATCGCTGATGCATCGGCGACGCGGTGCGATCTCCGACTCCACCTACTCCGACCCCATCCAGGAGTCTTCTAGAGATGCGGGTCAATGCAAACGGGGGTCAGTCAGAGCGCCGGATTTTGCAGTATCCTGCAGGGACAGGATCGCATTGACCCGGGTTTGGGCGCAGGATCCTGCAGGATCCTGCAGAGCTTGATTGACCTGGGTCTGGATTGATCCGGGTCAGTAGATCCCCGAGTGGCGCCAGACTTGAGAGGGCGGAGGTGGACCACCGGAGCCTCGATGGTGGCGGCACACCCTCCATCTTCGTCTGGCCCAGGACCACAGCACATGTGCACGCGCACTCGCATGTCGCATGGGTTTCCAGGGAGGGCGCACTGCGCAAGCGCTCGTGACGTCAGGGCTGTTCTCGCAAGCTTGAGGGCATAATCTTAAATCTGGACTGTCCCTCTACTGGAGGAAATAATCAAAAAATAGTCGGGAGACGATGACTTGAGTATTTTTGAAAGATCATGTTTGAATATTTCTACGTTTTTCTTTTAAAACAACATGTTTTCGCCCAAAGTCCGCCTGTAGGGGGACATGCCTGACCTAAGCATTAACGTGTATGTCGCTGTCTCTGGGGCTCCCTACTGATGCTGCCCCGCTTCCTCTTCCCTCCGCCCTCCTGCTGCTGCTACCCCCGTGCCTCCCCCTTTCTCGCCGTGTTGCGTTCAAGTTGCTTGTGTTTTGCAGGGGCTTCTTCAACGCAACACACGGCGCCTGCGAGCCAAGCTTAGTTTTGGGGAGTCCGTCCCGTTTCTTCATTACCATTCCGTCAGGTCGCCCCCGTGGCAATGGCATGGCAGCGGTCAGCGACCAAAGCCGGTCGGCGCTGGCTAGGGCAGTTCAGGCAAACACAATTGTTTTGCTGTCGCGCCAGGGCCTCAGGTTGCAACCTGGTTACCAGTCGCGGTCGCAGCAGCGCGCCATTAGGATGTGCCCATCAGGCGTCTGCAGGGAAAACAACATTCAGTTCAACAGTTAGCAAGCTCTGTGGATCGAGCTGGACCCCTTAGGCTCCACCTCGGTTCAGCTTCCAGGTGATGTGTGGGGTGCCTTTTTTGCGAATAATTGGGTATCGTCTCCGTTTGCCCCGCCAGGTCAGTTCGATCAGCAAAAGCACTTCAACAGTTTTCCATATAGCCTCCGATTGACCAGGGCGCGGCCTCTGGCAAGGAAGTGCCCGCACCTGCAGCAGAGGAGCACTCCAAGCTGGCAGCGTTGTAGGACAAGTACGCGGATCAGACGGGAGCGGTCCGTCACCGTGCCATCGTTCTACCTGCGCAGTCGCCCGAGCCCCCTACTATTCAGCACCAGGCTTCAGTCGAACGCTCTAAGATGCGGGTGGTCGGAGAGAACTTGCCAGCAGCGGTACAGAGGTATGCGGATGGGAACACTCAGGTGCCACAGCAGAAGGCATTTCTCACACAGCTCTCTGAGGAGCTCCAGGAGTCGGACAGATGCCATCGGACCCTGCTGCGAGAATTGCATGAGTCTTGCGCACCAGGAAATGAATAGTCTTAGCTTGGCGAGCGCACCGCAGCTCAAGTTGGCCAGCATCCTCGACGGCTCCTTCACCAAGTAGTTCATCACCGACTCTGTTGCGTTGTTGCGTTGTCTGGCTCCGGAGGCTCTTGGGAGCTGTCAGCCCAGGGCCAGGAGGAGCAGGAAAAGGGAGGCAAGCAATTCAAAGATAGCATCAACCGGCTCTCACCCAGAACTTCTTCGCCGAGGTGGTGGAGGACGCTGACTGCACCAAAGCCGCGCACAAAGCACGCACCGGTCGCTGACATGCAAGGCTGGGGAACATGGCGCCGCTGCTGAAGGAGCTCCTGGCTGCAAGGAGGCAGCGCGTACTTCAGATTGCTCCAGCGCTGGGGCCAGCAAAGACTCGGCAGTGCTTGCTGTAGACGAGCAGGGAGAGGATCCCACAATTCAGTGCCAAGGCGAAATTGGTGCGCGAGGGAGAGCGGCGAAGATCATGCAATCACTGGAGTCTCCCACTGCAAGCACTTCCTGGACGCTTTCCAGGGGACAGGCAGCCGCAATCTCCCCTTCGTGATGGGCTTTCCTTGCCATGGACGTCAGGCGGTGTTCCCAGCGGCGCTCATCCTCGAGGTGTCTTTTGGCATCGAAGGTCCTGGATTCGTTCTGGTGACAACGCTGACAGCAGGGTTGTCGTTGATCTTCGGCTTTTCTGAGATGCTGGAGTCCATGCTCCAGGTGGCGCTGCTGTCTGATGCATGGACCCAAATGCTTTCCGCTTGCATGGCGTGGATTAGCGTTGGCAGCCATCTACGTTCGACGCCATATTTCACGACGGCGCCCTCGCATGTGTACCGTTCTGTCCATTGTCGCGATGGGTGGCGCGTGCCGGGTGGGTTCCATGTCCAGCAGTGGGCGCATAGGATGTGACAATCAGTTTCTTTGCGTTTTTCGTGGGCGCTGCCCAATCATCGTTTTTTCCTGGACCACCTCGCCGGCGCAGGTGGCAGGGGGGCACTGCAGCACGTGCATTTCCAGAGGTGGGATTGGAATGGCGGGCTGGGTGGGTTCATTTCCAGCGACGGGCTCAGCCGCGGAGCCCATCGGCGTCGCATTGGTGGCCTTCGGCACGACGACCAACATTATGCGCGCTGTTCTTTCGGCCGTTCTGAGCGCTCAGAGGAGGCCGCCATCTCCGCTCAGCGCCGCGCCTCCTTGCCCGAGGTTGTTGGGGGGAACGGGCGGGGCGCTTTTCGCGCGTCTCCCCCCGAGCCCCGGGCTAGAGTGTATCAGGCCCTGTCGCGGCGGCAGTGCGAAGCCTCTCCCGCTGGCGCTGTCAGGAACTCGCCCTGGCGAGCGCGTGGGACGTCGCAGTCGGGCGCGGCTCGAGTGCGCTAGTTTGCGCCGCGCGCGCCTCCTGGGCCGAATTTTTGTTACGCGGTGTGACAAGCTTTTGGCGCAGTGCGCCCAGTGGGCCGCGCGGCCCTGCTGGGTTAGTTCCTGGCCCCAGGGGTCCCGTTCTTAGCGGGGCGGAGGGGGGTTTGGGAGCGCCTGGGGAATTGTCGCCGGGCTCGCTCGAGCGCTGCATTTTGCTTGTCAACTGCAGCGCGCGGTCAACGATGAGGGAGATGCCGGCGCAATCCCCTGCTCGCATCAACTCTTCTCAGGAACGCAGGCCCCGCGGGGGAGGAGTGATTTATCATGTGTCCAGCCGATGCGTCAGAGTGGGTTGAAAGAGCATTTGGACCCCGCTGTCGACGCGGACGCTGGCTCGATCTCTGGGGGCACCCGCGCGCTTGTCGGAGACTGTCTCAGATGGTTCGCGCCCCCCGGGGCCCCTGGAGCGCCGGCATGCTCGGCGCGCTGAGGGCCTCATAGAGGGGATTATGGATATCTCGGCATAGACGGAGGAGATGTTTCCGAATGCCCTCGAGTTCAAGGCCCCCCCCTGCACTGCGTAGAGGGCGCCGATCTCGACGCCAGCCCCGAGGGGCGCAGTCAGAGCGCGATCGCGCGGGAACTCAGGGGCGCCCAAATTGCGCCGCCTGAAGGGCGCGCGCGCGCGTTATTCTCCTTTTTTGTTGGGGGGGGGGCGCTTCAGTGGGCCGCGTTGTCTTGCGTTTCCGGCGGCCTCGGAAGAACGGTCGAGTCTTGCGAAGTCAGACGCGATGTTGCCTTCGGCCCTCGTCGCCCAGCTCAGGTCGCGCCTCGCCCCTCCCCAGTCGCGTTCAAAGGCCTCACCTTCAGTAAACCTTCTCCAACGCCTGCGACGCCTACCTTCGCCCACCAACCTGCGTTCGCGGCGGA